ATTGGAAAGTAACTTTAAAATGTGGACCTTTTAAACATGAAAAACTTTCGTAGGACGTATTTTCTTGTAAAGTTCATATTTACTGAGATATCGCATCTTGACGCACTAATGAGCAACCCTGTATATATATATAGATATATATAATAGACAGAAAATAAAAGACCAGGGATACAGATAGGCATGACTCTAACGTCATGTAACCTAGATAACTATTGGAATTGCTCTGAAGCCTATTGAAAATATTGAGGAACAACCGCATATAACTCGGTAATTTTAGAGAAAAAACGTATGCTCATTAATTTGTTCATTATCAAATTTTCTACACGAAAACGAAAAAAGGTAGGTAAGAAACAAGATAATTTTAAACTACTTATTTAACAGTGAAAAAATAACCCAATCATGCCATGCAATTAGAGAAAAGTAGGTGACTGCAATATAAAGCGAGAGTCGCAAGGCCGATTAAGATCGGACGGACCGTTTTTGCATAATGCAATTGTTAAGTAACCCATCTAGAAAAAAAATATTAAATACCAAATGAATTTGTATTATAAATAAATTACTACTAAAAAATTAACTTTTAGTTACATTTAAAATGCTTGATTAGGAAAATTGACCACCGACTGTTCATTTTTAAAATTGATAAATGTAACCATAAAAATTGAAATACTCTCGTTTTTATACCCACATTTAAAAAAAATCTTCAAAATCGGTGCAGTGGAAGCCGAGACATATGAATCCTGAATCAAGCGCGCTGATTTTGAAGCTCTGATTTTTAACTTTTTGTTGTTTGTAAACAAAAGTTGAGGGATTTTGAAATTTTTGAATTAAAAATTGAAAAATTGTTAATATAGGAATTGAATAAGATAGCTTAACGGTCCAAGAAGGTGTAAAAGTGCAGGCGCAAAATAGTACATTATATATCTAGGTCGAGAAGTGAGCTATTATAGACCTAGCACTTTTATATAATATATGTGGATATGATGTACGACGTATTTAATAGCCTTCTTGACCGAAGTATATGTAGAATATTCTTAGTACTAACACGGATAATTGCCTAAACTGATTTAATTGGATTTGGAATTTCCAATTAATTTTCACTATATTTGGTAGTCTTACGTTCAGTTGTCAAACTGGCGCAATATAATTTGTCTCAAAAACAGAAAACTGATAGCAGCTCAAAAACAGAAAACACATAAAAATTCTATAAAAAACTCCTGGAAAAAGCGAAAAGTTAGTGAATGTTAAAGTTACCCCTGATTTTAGAAATGAAAATGGATGGAATCTTTCATGAAGTTATAGAGGTGGGCAAACTAAAAATAATTGAAAACGTAAACGTCTTTCATTATTTACCTAGGAACTTTCTTTTTATTATTATGGGCCCAGGGAGAGAAATATAACTTCTCACTAGGGAACTGGAGTAAATAATGGTGACTTCTCAGGATAGTTGTAAAGTAGTAAAAACAGGTCTTTTTCCTAGGTAAGTTATTTAACAATTGCATTATGTAAAAACTGCCGGTCGGATCTTAATCGGCCGCGGCTCTCGTTTTGTATTGAAATCAAGTACTTTTCTTTAAATGTATGGCGTAATCGCTTTACGTTATTTTTTCAATTATTAAATAAATAATTACCCTGTTTTTTATCTACTTTTCTTGAACTTTCAAACATTTTAAATCTACCGGTATTTTAAGCAAATACAACATTAATAACTGTCAGCTTATAATCAACCACAAACTGATAGAACGAGTGAGCAATATTACTTACCTTGGAACTCTGGTAAACGAGCAATGGGATCATTCGCAGGAAATAAGAAGTAGAATTGAAAAGACCAGGACTGAATTCAGCAAGTTGAGACATCTGTTCACAAGCCATCATTAGTTAGTGATTGCACACCAAGGTAAGACTCCTGCGCTGCTACGTGTTCTTTGTCCTGTTTTACACGCTAGAAGCATGGATGCTTACTGAAGCCACAACGAAGAAATTGGAGGCATTCGAGTTATGGTCGTATCGTAGAATTCTGTAAATACTGCGGACAACCCACATAGCAAATATCGAGGTCTTAACAGAATGGACAAGGAAACGGAAGGGGTTAATACTGTGAAAGAACGAAAGTTCTAATATTTGGGACCGTAATGAGAAATTAAAACAGACTTTACTTACTGCAAAGTATATTGTGAGGAACAGAATTAGGAAAACGAAGTCTGGGTAGAAGGCGAAACTTATGGTTAAAAAACCTTAGAACCTGGTTTGGTATGAGTACAACTAAGTAGTTCCGGGCTGCAGTGGTCAAAGTTAAGATAGCATGTATCATAGCTAACATCCGAAGCGGACAGGAACTATAAGAAGAAGTCCACAGAACGATTCATCGTTCACAAAAAGTGTCCATACTAATTATTTTACATCATATTCATGTGGATAAAGATGATATAAAAATAATTTAACCTGGGTAATGGATCTACCGAAGAGACAACATTTGCCTATAAAATGGTTCAGCATTATAAATATAGTATTGATAAATATTTAAACCAGATTGCATTTCTTCTCGTTACTGTATCACTGTTATTAGTTAGTGATTGAAAACTTGATTAGTTTTTGTTAATAAACCGAACATCAGCGCAAAGCAAAACAACTCCTTCGCAGACGATATTGTTTATTGTATAATATAAAATCAAAATATGCTTTTCTAACCATGTGCTAATAGCATATCATCGAACATTTCATTTCTCTATTGGTAATCTTTAACTATTTGTCATTTTAAAGTAGTTGAAAGAAATAATTTTTGTTGGAATCTTTAGATATTCATTTACATTATTTTAGAAAAAAATACCTCATAACTTTGACAACAAGTACTCACACATGTATTTTTAAGTCTAATTTTTAAAATTGTTAATTCAAAAAAATTTAATAAATTTTTTAATATTGAGTTAATTTAGCAAAAAATCGATTAAAAATGCGGCATTCGGATTAGCATCTCTGATAAAATAAAGAACAGATTTCTATCGCCAGGCCTTTTCAAACAAATTGGGAAACTGGATTTTCCTTTTGCAGTTTCAAATTTAAGAATTCTTATTTAAAAGGGAGAACTGTTTTCGAAACTCTAGTTTATCGTTTATCGAGGGAGATGACTGTTGAGGATTATCTGGTACAGTGATGGATCAAAAACTTGCCTAAGTGAATGTCATTTTTAATAAAATGCATGTGAGCTTACAACATATCTAAATCAACCGATTCACAAATATTGTAGCCTTATCCTGATGCGGAATGTCACAAAATTTTTACTTGAATTCAATATCAGAGGATGATAGTGGTTGAAGCTGTACTCGAATTATCGGCTTTTGCGTAAAAATGTAAGCTTATCTGCTCAAATTTTGAAATTTCAACTCAAAACTTTCTTCAAACTTCAAAAGAATGTTATGGTTTCTAATAAAACTGCTCCGCGATCACTTTAAAGCAACGCCGCACTCGAATTGGTGTTCCTTCCAAGCCTTGCGGTCTCTCCAGGGAATCTTCCCGGTTCTTTCAAGGAACAGTGTGGTTTTCTCTGGAACGTTTAATATTAATCCGAAATATTTTAAACTCTCTAATTCAGGCCTTTCTATGGATTAACGTAATTGAAAGCTACCAGGCAATATAAGTTACAATATGTTAAAATATAATATTCAGAAGTGACTAATCTGAAACGGGCAAAGGGTATTGATGGTTTGTGAATGTAAATTAGTTTGACCATTTAATTTATTTGCTGTTATATAGACAGATATATAACAGCTACAGATGTTTGAACTGCAACTGAAAATAACGCAATTTTTGTTTCAGATATTAATGAATCGGATTTTTTTGATAAATTGGGTCAAGAGCTTATTAGCACATGCTGTACTGATCGAATGGAAAGAGCATTCAAATGCCTTGGTGGTAATCTTGAAGAGTTCCTAGCTACTCTCGATGGAGTCCATGATGTACTCAAATATCAGGAAAATTCTAACGACGGTTAGTTTCACTTGTAGTAGTATAATTTAATTTTATATTAAAACACTTTGACAAAATATACAGAAACAGCTTGCGCTTTGTGCGACGAAAGAAAAGACGAAAACGAACGAGAGTTCTGCACATTAATTTTCAAATAAGTAAGATCATTTTGATCCCTAAATTTCAAAAAACATTTCATTAAAAACATGAGGTTATTTATGCTCGTGTGCCTCCAGTTTATTATGTCAATAATAAAACTAATAATATGATGACCTACTGCAGCATGTTCAGGAAGTTTGTCAAGAATGACTGAAACGTACTTTCGTTAATTGAGCCATTAAACAAATATCTACGATCCCTCTCACAGTTTGAACACGTAGATATATGTAGAAAACAAAAGCAAAATATGTAGAACATGGGATTTCGGGACTTTCACATTATTATTGGCTTGATTTTAATTTAATACGAGTACTTCAGTTGTCTTGAATATGTGTCTCTATATTATGATGCAATCGTTTTCAATTCTAAACCAAATCAAAATACGGTTTATTGCCATAGAGAAATTTAAAAGAATTTAATCGACAACACGAATGGTAAAAACAATATATTAAAAAATATTGTTCATAAACAGAGAAATGAATAATGGTAGAAACAATAGAAAACATAGCACATATAACGAAAATGGACTCTGGATTATCAGCGAAAACAAAGTTTGCGATTTTTAGTCTTATTCTAACCAGCTCCTATCTAAAGGTGGTAGTGCAGCTATCTATCACTTTTTATATTATGTATAAAACAATAGCTAAATGACAAAGATTCCATAAATCTTTCCATCCGCCGCAGGCTCGATGAAGACTATTCGTTTCTTGGTGCAAATCGGATGCAATTCTACCTATTTCATCACCAAGGTACACTTTAAATTTCCGGTATTACTAACTATTGACAAATTATTGAAAGCATAATTTGGAAGTTTGAAGATTTTACTACTTTTCGCCCGCAATTAACGCAACCAGTCACACTTGCCAACGACATCAACACATAGAAGTAAATAAGTGAAAAAAATCATTTTGAATTACAATTTCATGCACAAGATCAAATCGGTATAAAACATATAAAATATTAATAATAAATTTTGGCAGAATGCAATGGTTCTGCCAGGAAACTGAAGTGGTTGGTATGAGTCAAGCGACATCCGATCAGGCCTGGGTAACTCAGCGAATTTTTAGGAGTTGGAGCAGTGCTGCGCAAATGCCTTGGTGCGCCAACCCAACGCGGATCATCGGTTTCAATAAATGAGTTGTAATTCATTGATGGGTTCGGATGGAATAGCCGAATAGTTGAATAGACAACCGGTTTATTTTCAAACAATCGGTAGACAATTTTTGCATTCACTCTAACTCACTCATTAACTAACTAACTCGGTACGGAGCCTGGTATTTATAGTCTATCTACCAAGGCTTCTAGTCAGGCGAATAATGTTTTCGAACATTACAATAATACCTGGAATGTTCTCGACATCATAACAATACAGTCCCAACCTAAAATGTTCTGGAATACTCGTTCGGCGGTAGGACTTCCGGACCTAACACTCATTAACCGATGAGTTATAACTCATTAACTCAGAGAGCCGAATTAACTCAAAAGCGCAACTCAACACAGTGTTACCCAGACCAACATCCGATGTAGGTAATCAACGAATTAACAGAGCAGCCAATGAAAGGACTAGACTTTAATGCACCTGGTAGTTATTTATAAGTAGGCATACGATAGCGTATTTGTAGTTTGCCCTAATGGGTCTGTGACAAATATGTTCTGCAGTATAAAAAAGCCCTATCGATATTTTCAAACGTTGTATCCATGCGAATGTATGTTTTGTCTATTTCAAAATGAAAAACTACAGTTTGTTCACACTCAATAGAAACCTTTTTATTAACTTGCCCATTATTTGATACTATTATTAGTTAAACTGAAAGCTCGAATTTCAGGCAACATTATTTCCAGGATTCGTCGACACGAACTAAATTACATGATAAATATTTTGTATGGTTTCGAAAAAACAAACAAATATTGGGGCAAGATACAAATATCAAAACTTATAGACAATACGGTCCTTTTCAGTCAGGTTCTCGCGGGACATTCTGATCCAGTACCTGGAAATATACTAGAGCACCAAACAATATTTTGTAATGTTCTGAGCTTTCAAAGAATAATTTGGAATGTTACTTCTAATCTAGCAGGTTTTTGTACAACTGAACCTTCGAGTTATGCAAGCTTAGAACAATTCCGGAAAATATTTGTCTTTTAGTGTAGGTAAATAATGTTAATTTCTAAATCAGGTTTACATAATTATTTGATGGTGGCAAACTAAAACGATTGCTGTAATATAAATATAAAAATTAAATGCATTTCTTCAAAAAGAATATTATTGATATTCTTAATAGTAATTTCCCTTTTTTTCTGAACTACAGTTATTTTACGCAAAGGCAGTGAGCTAATTATAAAACTTTATTTAACGAAACCGTTTTTAAAAAGCTTTATTTAATTTTAACAGCGAATAAGCTTACTACTTAATTCCACAAGGTGGTTACAAAGAATGAATGAATTATGTATAACAACCAAATGAAGTAAACGCAACTGCTGACACGTCAAATGCTGATGCCTGGTGTCTTCTTGGTATTCTGCTGATGCCTGGTGTCTTCTTGGTATTCTGCTGATGCCTGGTGTCTTCTCGGTACTCTGGTTGCAGAGTCAGTTGTTATGGCTGTGTAACTAGCTATAGCTTCTTATCATATTACGCAAAAAATTATAAACCTATCGAATATATTGTATCATTATGCAAAAGCGCGATTACAAACGTGAAAGGCTATTTAAGCACAAACAAAATATTACATGTAGGTTAACATTTGTACAGAGCAATGGAATATTTGTTTACATTTACTCATATAGAAAGGACTGAAACGTTTTAAAAGCAAATCCCAACACTAGAGGAAAATATCAATGTTATAATGGAGCCCGCCGCGAAATTGGAAAAATGTATAGATATGTAACAGGATATTGGCAAGTCTATCACGTCAGAGAATTTCAATAAAATCCGATGAAATAGCGATCGTGATGAAGAGCTATTTTATTTCCTGATTGAAACCATCATAAGCATATACATTGAGTGGATCACCGAAATTATAGAATTCATTTTTCTCAATTACAATTAATACGTTTCCGGAGTACCTACACAATTTTTTGTGATTCGATTAAAATTAAAGTGCAAAGCTTAGGTAATGTTTGCCCAAAAGTCCGATATTCCTATATGGGACTATCGACTATTCCTCGCACTAAAAAGTTTTATTCTTCGGGTTCAAAGATATTACTGTAAGCACTTTTATTTATTTCTGGTGTGACACTAAACTTGCAGCAATTTAAAAGTATAAATGTTTATGACTATGATATATACAACAAACTAAAGAAGAGTACAAAATGAAAAGAAAAAAAAACATACATGTTTGTCTAAAAATATAAGTAATAAAAAGGGTAAGTAAAATTTGTAAGTCTAATTTGCGACGACAGATATGATTAGTATTATACTTCAGTCTGAGCTTTACATCCAGGGAACGCAGCCAGTCCACTGCAGGGAGGTAGCATTGATAATGTCTTCGAACGGTCCCAGGTGCTTCCTCAAAAACCATTCCCGGGCAATATGATCCACGGTTTGCTCATCAGCTCCGCAGTCACAGAGTGGGAACTTTGCAACTTCCCAGCCATACATCATGGCATTGCATTTTGTTATGACCCACAACCTTACGGTTAGAGCCAGTTTCCTTTCGGACTTAAGTCCTAGATCGTTTTATGTAAATGAAGATAATGCTAATATTTATGGACTTTATCAATAGATAACTGCAGAATCACTATCATCAGCATCAATCTATTCTATATTTTCCAGAAATTTGTAGATTTATAAATCTGTAGGTAAGAAGTGATCTGTAACCCAATTGCTTGCAGATTTGTAAACATGGCAATTCTGGGATATCATTTGCTAGAGGCTCTGTTAAAGTAAAACATGTGATCTACATACAACTAACTCAAGCAGTTTTATAGATGATGTTTATACAAATAAATCCTGATACATAATCTATAATTTGTTATTTTCTTTTGTACAACGAACCTGCAGTTTATGTAATATTTTGCCATTAAAAATAATAAAATAAAAATAAATAAATAAAAACTTTATAATTTGTACCTGTAACAAATTATAAGTAATTATACAGGGTGTCCCGTAAGCGCATGATCAAAAGGGTACTGCGATATTCTTTGAACCAAAAAAAAACGATCTGCCCTAACTTTTATTAACAAAAAATGTTTGGCTCCTCTGCTATTGATGAGAAAATAATTTCAGAAAATTTATCTTTTTTGAAATATCCGGAGAATGGTGCGATATATTTGAGTGAAACCCGCTGTGAAATTGTTCTTATGTAAGACTCATATTTTGATGAAACCATCGAGTTCAGCCCTTTTGGTCAATTGGTGAATTCTTGAGTGTTGTGGTACAAAAACTACCAGAACTTTTCATCTGGTAGATGGAATCAAATAATTTTTTTGGTTGATGCACTTATTATTTATTCACAGTTTTGTGCTCTTTGTAAAGAATTCATAGTTTTTGCGCAAACAAATTTCTGTTTTATAGCCACTTGGCAAAATTTGAGAAAAAAATCAGTTTTATTACCAAGATTTAAGGAATGCCTCCCTTTTCTATTAACCTGTACAAAGTGTGGATTTTTCGCGTCCAGCTCAGGTGGAGCAAAAATATCAATGTGAGTTCCATGAATACGTCCTAAAACGCCTCAGAATCCATATTTATTGAAGAAACTGAATTAAAATAGTACCCACATAGCAAAAAACATAGTGTGAATTGACAATTCTTACACAATTAGGATTGTGGAACAGATTTGCTGCGATCGCCAATCAAATTTCGTGTATTGCTTTGCTAACTAAATGTTGGCTTGCTTTGGTTTCAGAATTTTGAAATTAACCAGTTGCCAAAAAGTTAAGCCTAGTTAAAACCTAAAACGGAAAGCCAAATTTTATTTTGCCTATTTTACAAAGCACATTATTTGCCTACTTACCAATTCTTCAAATATTAGCATAATTATTCATTTTTTCTCCAGAAATCTCAATCAACACGGATTTCTATATCAACCAAACTGGTTGTTACAATCTCGCCATAAATCTAGCAGCTTTATGACCTGTTCTCATCCACTCAAATATTTACAAATCTTATGGATGTCTTGTAAGCTATAAGATCCCACTTCTCAGAATTACACATTTCCTGTAGAGTTACCAACCATTGTAGTTCTGTGTATCTGAGTGTCGAGCGTCTCAAGACTGTCTTACAGGGCAAATTTTAAGTGGGCTAAGCTGAGGCACTTCCAGGTTTCGGTAGTGCTTTTTCTTGGTTAAAAGCTATCAGGCTCGAAACCGGTCCTGAGAATGCCTGAGATTGGCACATCTCGAAATTTACACTTACTTACAGAATAGACTCATGACGGCTTTTTTGGTGTCTAAAGTTTCCTAGTTTTGTTTTTGGTGGTTTGTTGATGAAATTAATGTGTTGTTAGTCTGTGAATCTCTTTGCCGGACAATATGTGACTAAGACACCAACTGTATCTCACTACATTTTTGTTCTATAAGCAACACACATTTAAAATACTTACCTACTAGTAATTGAGGAAAATGGAACTTTCGGTATTATTCTTATTTCCACAGGCACCATTCTTTAATACTTAAATCTATCATTTAAAACGCCTATTAAAAACATACAGTTTAGATGAAATAAAACATATGTCTGTACGCTGAAACTTCTGAAATTTCCAATTTATTTCAGAGGACCATCCCGAATCCGAAGCTGCCTTTATATGTAATGCCCTAGATGATTCCCATTTACATCTAGATTTCACGACTGAACGACCTGCTGTAGCGTATCTCTTAGTCGGAAGTTTAAAAGCAGTCGCAAAGATATTGTACTTCACCGACGTGGAAATAACAATGACTCGCAGTTCAGACGACAAAAGACACTTTAGGTATGGTATTTCATTTTTAACTTTATGCAAATAGTAGAATTCAATACATTTTTCACATGGAAATGATACGTTTTATTTTATTCTTACTTGCGTAACTTTACTCTTCACTGGTCTACATTAAAAAAACAGCGCTTCTGCCTCAACACCTTCACAGTATTTCAAGTACCGGTGGTCCGTACCAAAGAAAGTTATACTCTGGTATGATAGTTAGTTTAAGCAAAAACAATTGTTAAATATTAAACCTCCTCAATACTTATCCTCGACCCGTGCTATAATTGACTTTGTGGTAAGTTGATCGCTGAAGCTTGCTTAAGGATACGTGCAAACCGGCGACCGAGCTGGGCCATGCGATGCTGAAAGTGGCCAAGCGATGAAAGGAGTCCGAGCGAGTGTGCATATAGAACGGGGATTTGTTAGTGTTCTCAATTGTGGGTTAGCTTGGCTTGGGAAGTTAAAGGTCGTATTTTGCATATATTTTCTAACGTTCGTGCTGTTATTGGATACACCGGTAATTAGAAGAGTGGAAAAACTCAAACGCAAAAGATGGCACATGAGATTAATCTAGCACTTTGTAACAGAAAAAGTTAAAGTGAGTTTTTTCTCACTTGAAGCAGCTGATTTTCGCATTGGAGTTATATTATGGGCCCGATTGCGGGATTTTCAGTTTTACCTTGGGGCATTTTTGAAAAATTGGTGTTGTGCAACAACCAACCGCTGCTCTTTAGTATCCGAAAAAAATCCTGGAAACTCACAGAAATTTCCTATTAAAGTGCTTTTTTATAATATTATTATTAAAGCCGGATTGTGGGATTTTTGGCTTTTACTTGTAATTTCTTTTAATTAGTGTTTTGCAACTGCCAATCGCCTCAACTCAAAAAATCCTGGAGGAGTTTCGCTTTCCAGTAATGTTATGTATTTATGTATGCATTCAGACATTTTTGGTTTTTTCTTGACAAATTCTTAAAAATCACGTATTTCCCATCGGCCATCGACTCACCTTAGTTACCGAAAAATCCGAGAAACTTGCGAAAATTGCCTATAAAAGTGAGTTTTTCCTCACTTAAAGCTGCGGATTTTCTCTTTCCAGATATATTATGGACAGTCTTGGAGATTTTTTGTTTTTCTTTGAGAATTTTTTGATAAATCCGTTCAACGGCCAATCGCATCAGCTTAGTAACTCAAAAAATCCTGGAGGAACTCCCAGAAAGATCCTATTAAAGTGCGTTTTTCACACTTAAAGTGGCACATTTTCGCTTTCGAGTGATATTATGAGCCAGATTGTCAAAAATGGGCTTTCTGTTGTTAAATTTTAGAAAAAGTTGTCAACGGCCAATCGTCTCACCTTAGCTACTGAAAAATGCTGGAAACTATCAGAAATTTACTTTTAAAGTGGGTGTTTCCTCACTTAACCCCGCGGATTTTCTCTTTCCAGTTATATTATGGGCTGGATTATCAAATTTTTGGTTTTCCCTTGGCTAATGTTTGGAAAATCCGTGTTGTTCACCGGCCAAACGCTTCGATTTAGTATCTGAAAAAATCCTGCAAACTCCCAGAAGTTTTCTATTAAGGTGACGTTTTCTTTACTTAAAGTTGCAGATTTTCTCTTTCGAGTGACATGCTGAGCAGGGTTAAGAAATTTTTGGTTTCTTTGACAATTTTTTATTTAAATCTCTGTATGTGTACCAACGGCCTATCGCTTCCCCGTCGTAATTGAAAACATCCCATAAAAGTGAATTTTTCAAAAAAAAGTGAGCCAAGGTCAGTAAGAGAGTCATAACTCGGGTCTTAACGGCCAAAGTTCGTTGCGTTCGCCGACAAAGCACAAACTATTTTGTATTCAATCGCATCGCTCCGCCCCCACTCCCATCGCCTCGCTCCGCGTAGCAAGTAGTATGCACTACAGGGACTGTATAATACACAGTGGCGACAAGTCCAAGACTCAAGTCAAAGTTATAATTTGACATGATACTCTGATATTAAACATTCTGGGATTAAAATAGAAACCAGCTTTAAAAATGAGTTTTTTCTATATAAAATTGGATAAAAGTTAAGATCCGAATCGCTAAAGCCGAATTGAGATGAAATTCAGCACTTGATAAGAATTGTTTTGTGCAATGGAAATGAAGTTTAGCTTTAGGTTTTCAGACTTATTTGTTCTTCGTTATAAATCAAACGTTTGTTTTAAGCAAGTCTGTAATAGACCCACTTGTAACCATTACTGAGTAATGTTCCAGGTATTAAATCAGAAACATTAACACATTATTTTGTTTTTATTTTCTAGCTCATATTTTCTGGGGCCTTCTAAACTAAACTGTTAATTTATTTTCTATACGAGGTGTTTCTTTGTTTTTGAGACAGGATTAAAGCATGAGGATCTGTTACGTTTATCTTCTATTTTGCGATGCATGTTAACTCGTTTCGGTAACAGAAACAACTTTCAATCTACATTTTGAGCACATATAATTTCATAAAAATTCTTTCAATTTCAATGGAAAAATTGACTACATGCTCATTTCACAAAAATTAAGTATTATTTCTATAAGTAGTAAAGTTTTTAAGCAGGGTTTCTTTAGATCCTAATTTCCAAATACATTTATTACAAGTGTTAGATTTGCATTTTATGGAGCAAATAATATATCCGGCTGTATAGTCTAATGAATGAATTTGACTAAAATTGAGATTAAAATCACGGGGAATATTTTCAGTTATTAGTACGGAATCATAAAAAATTGTATTGCTAGAGGAATACAATTTTCCTTAGGAAATCTGAAAAAGATTCCCTGTCGTCTTCATCACAGCTGGAACCTTTCAGTCATTTAAAATATTGTGAAGCACAAATTAGTTTTAAATTATCTTTAACCTGAAGAGCATTAGGAATTACTTGCTTACTGGATGGTGAAAAGCGCCTTTAAGACCTACTCGCCGGAACCGTTCGCGTCCTGCCACAGTACCACTACTGCTATTGCTTACTCTGCACAACACTAAAAATATTTTCCCAAGCAATCTTGTGAAAATCGATCAGTCTAAATAAATTCCTAGCCATTTTCCTCCAACAAAAGTTTTCGTAGGTCTCAAATCAATTTTGTAAAAATTAAAATTCCGGTTTGACAAAGCTTAATTCCATAATTTCTTAATGCAAATTTCCAGAAAATTAGTGAGCAATTCAATAGCTTTTAAAGAAACGAAACCACTCATCACAGGCGTCAATAAACCAAGCCGTTCTTAAATACTCCCAGGTAGCACACTACGTCTTATGGACGTCTAAACGACGACATGAGATTCGGCCAGAAGACGTCAGATAGCTCATTTGGACGTCCAAATGACCGCTCATGAAACATCTGCCAGACGTCTGTTTAATGACGTCGGCTAGACGTCTG